GATAGGAGGAAGAAAATGGATGGATGGATGGATGGATATTTGTTTTTAGCTTATTGTATGTTTTACTGTATTGTGTCTGTGAAGCACTTTGGTCAACACTGTTGTTTTTATATGTGCTATATAAATAAAGTGATGATGATGAAAACAGTAACAAATTTTCATTGCAGCGCTTGTTCTAACTCCTGACTTACTGCAGGGGCGTGTCTCTGACCGAAAGGCTTTTATACCTGAACTGGAGCTGTACTGTTTTAACCAAGAGGAAAATTCAACTGCAGAAGCCACCATTCAAGCCATAAACGGCAGTGCTAAGATAGTTTTAGGCCAAGTATTTCAGAATTAAACAAATTCACACAAAAATGTCACAATTTGCACAGAAATTTAAAGTTAATACCCTTTAAGTGTCTGTGACATCAAATGTTTGTAATAAATATGAATGCATTTTTGGAAAGACAACATTAATGAGATATTAAAAAACAATTTGCACGCTGCCGAGATGAACAGTTGTTGAGATATTTGCATGTGAAGTCACAGGAAGTGATGTCAAAGGGGAACATTTGCATGTGAACAGTGTTACTAAAATAGCTAACAACAGAGACTGTAGAGAAGAATTTGATGGTTTTTTAAATTATTTCGAGTCACTATCAAATAAGAATCAGAGTTTAAATAATGTTTTGACAAACAAAGGCCAGAGAGTTCATTTTCTTAAAGACTTGCCCTTTGATGTCACTTCCTGTTTCACTTTGGCTGAGCCAAGTCCAAAAGAAAATATGCCAGTTATGAGACAAAATGAGCAAAATGAGCAAAATTGTGTTTTATGTCAAGTTCCTTACATATAAAAATGTTTTCTTTGACTTTTTGTATTTGAAGAATATGCATGTCACAGACACTTTAAGGCCCAATTTAGACAACAATCTGGAAAAAAAAAAAAAGCTGATTTTGGGTTTAATAAGTCTTTAAAAGTTGTTGTGACCTCTCAGGTGCACGCTGCAACAGATGCAGACCTGGTTTCTATGCTGACCTGACCCTGGCAGGTGCTCATTGTGAGGCCTGTCCCTGCAACAACAACATCCACMCGGACGATGATGAAGCCTGTGACAGCTCGACCGGAGAGTGTCTGCGCTGCCTTTACAACACAGTGGGACCGCAGTGCCAACACTGCAAACCTGGTTATTATGGCAACGCTTTGCAGCAGGATTGTAAAGGTAACAACAGATTTTAAGGAGTATTCTTGTGCCTGGGTCACATGACCCCTGTTATCTGACAGTCCCTCTGAACCAAGCTGCAGTAGTCGTGGGTTTTATAAAATGTTACCCGTATMCAAAATTTCTACAARTTCCAGAAGGGAGACWTATCTAAAACCAAATGAAGTACATTTTGTTTTACTGTGTACAGGTGAAAGAGCATCAGTCCTATTTGATTCAAAACTAATCAATCCATAAATTACTCTTTTTACTCCTGTATAGTCAGAAAACATGGTCTGGTTTCTCCAAAGACCAAGAACCAGACTTGACTAATACAAGTTTGTCYTTATTTCAAGCAGGGCATGATAATCTAGTCCTTAAGGGCCAGTATCATCCTGGTTTTAGATGGTTTAGATGATTACCAGAATTCTGCAGAACTTGTTGCGATAAYGAAAACCACCATGCAGATCAGGGGAACCTCTAAAATCCTGCAGGTCTGTGGGACTCTGAGTTTGAAGCCTCTGCTTTAAACGATGATCAGGAGTGTCGTGTTTCTCTGTGTGTGCATTTGTTTCCCAGAATGCTCTTGTGACCGGCGGGGAACTGAGCCGACTCGGTGTCCTCTGGAGGGTCCTTGCTTCTGCAGTTCAGAAACTGGACAATGTCCCTGCAGGACAGGGGTGAGGGGAGACCTCTGTGATGAGTGTGAGGACGAATTCTGGGACATGGACGGAGTGTCGGGATGTGAGCCCTGCAGCTGTGATCCTGTTAACTCCATCTCCAACATATGCAATAAGGCAGGAGGACAAGCAAACATCCATATCACCCTCAGAACCAAAACCACATGAAAATATATTTTTTCTAGTCCTTTCTGTAGGGATTTTCTGTCCACTAACTTTAATACATCAGCCATGACATCAGTCAAAAGCTCCTATGGAAAAAGGACAGAAGTATTTGTCCTGACTAAGGTAATAGCTAGCCAAAAAAGAGTGTGGAATTTAAATAAATTTTCAGGCTAACTCTTCTTCAAAAACAACAAACTGCTACAAAATAAGACCACATTAGCTAATATTAAACTCATACACATTTTTTGACACAGTTTGTTGCTCTTTTTCATCTAAACAATTTCAGTGATGCCATACGAAAGTTATGCTGAACATAGAGCGTAATGTGCTGATGGTGCTGAMTGTGTTAGAAAACGTTTGTAATAAWWAGAAGAGCAGACCATAGATGGTCTKATGACAACAACACTACACAAATTATGTCATGGATCAGTGCAATAGCTAATGTAGTATTTCTATACACCTTTTTTAAGGGGAAAAGTTTTATAACCCTGAAACACTATAAAAATGTTCCCTTATTTGGCTACCCATTAGCCTAGTTTGGACAAAGATTTCTGCCATTTTCCTATACTTTGTGCCTCATGACTGGGGTTGCCAAGTCCAGTATTTTTAGCAAAACTKAAGTGTCCTGTGTGGGATGCTTTTTTTGTCCCATATTCTGACTSCAGCCTAGAATATGGACTTAAACTTAACGGTAGATGGCAATCCTSTTCTCACTAACCTAGACCTACATAAACTCTGCATCTACAAAAAGGAAAGGTAACAAAAGGATTACATGATGTGATTAAAGCTTTTTGCTGTTTATRTCGTTGGGAGTTTTCAATTGATTCTCTTTTTAATTCTCTTTACACACTGATGTTGGTTTGAAGTAATCTGGTTTTAAAAACATCCTTATGTTTACTGAAGCCATCACCAGCTGAAAAATAAATAAAATAAAATTATTGTGTTAGTTAAATCTTTATTTTTAATTCATCGTGTTGAAAGTGGAACTAACAGAAACTAGATTAAATCTTATTTATGTGGATGTAACTCAAATATTGGGGAAATAAGACTTATTGGGTGATGTCACAAGTAACTCAATACGTCATTAAGCTCCATCACCGGTAGAGCTGTCTCACATTTTGTGATGCTTTGGCAACCCTATTCATGACAGATTTAGGTTTCCTAACCTTGAAAATATCAACTAAGAGTAATGCCATGAAGAAAAGTACAACAGCTCAACAAACAAACATAAACAGCTTCACATTAAGAGTCAAGGAAATACCAAGAAATAGTTAAGATGCATTCCTTTCAGATAAAGTTTAGTTACTTTTTAGATTTTGGCTAATATTTTTGCTTCTTTTAGCTAGTMTTTTGATACTTTTWRSYTTT